GACCATATCAGTAGAAGACCTTGGTGCGGTGGAGGAATGAGAAGCTCTATCCTTGGTATTTTGGGCCTTATGAGATTATAGAGACGATTGGCGAGGTGGCTTATTGTTTGAGGTTGCCACCCTCTTTGGCGATTCATCCGACGGGCTATTAGAGACCATACACCATTTCCTTTACTACCGCCCACGTTAACTGCAGATATGGAGGTTGTGTTGGAACCAACTGCTTTAGAAGGCGTGCACCAAGGGTTGTCAGGACAATCGAGCGATAAAGAGGTGGTGATCAGATGGAAGGATTTGCCAGACTATGAAGCGACGTGGGAACCGTTTGACTTGATTCAGGAGCAGTTTCCTTTGTTCCACCTTGAGGACAAGGTGTCTCATTAGGAGGGGAGTAATGTTAAGCCCAAGCCCCTACAGACTTATGTTAGGCGTAGGGTAAGGGGGGCAAATTAGTCCTTTAGGAGGCGTTGACCTACAGACTTATGTTAGGCGTAGGGTAAGGGGGGCAAATTAGTCCTTTAGTATTTTATGGATTTAGGGCTTTAGTATAAAGATGACATTAACAAGTTAATTATGTTTATGCTGAGTTTTGTCAAGTTATTATGAATAATTAGGAGTTTTAGAAAGATTGACCTACCTCTTGAATTGTAGGTCAGGATTTATCTTTCAGTTGATTTAATTAATAATAATAAGTTCTAATTCAACCTTAATCCCAATTGATTCTTCTCTGAAACCTATCAACATGTGATACATCTTATTTGAGGATTTTACATGATCAACAGTTTATCAATTATCTGTAAATGTAATGGCAACTAATTTGATAATAGACTGACTGTATAACGCCCACTCGCTTGGATTTAATTACTTTGCCAGACACAACTAGTGATTGAGACTATGACAAGTCTTGCTGAGAAGGTGTGCATTTCCAGCTCATTATTTCCTAGCACTTTACTTCATTTAACTTTTTAGCCTCTCCGTTTTTTACTTAATTTGCATTGAGTAAATAATGAACAAGGAAAAAAAAAAAAAATAGAGCTTTGACAATAGCATTGACAAATTTATTAGCCGTTATTAATTAGTATCAAATCCTTATATTTATTAGTAGATATTAATTAGTATCAAATCGTACACTGCGAAATTCCTTATAATTTTTGTCCCAACTTTGACTTGTCTTTTTATATTTTTATTGGTAAATGAAATCTTGTATTACTAATTGATGTAAAGCAATTGTTTAAACACTTATTAATGAAAAAAAATAACAACTCAAAATTAGTATTAAAAATTAGCTAGCATTAGATCGTTATTGTTCTTAGCATTATTCTTCTTATTATGGGGGACATCGTATAATGATCAATTTACATTGAACATTACTTGAGATTTTTATGAGTACTTTTAGGTCCCGTTCATTTTGCCGATTCGAGTTTAGAATTCGAGTTTTGCTACAGTAAAAAGCTCTCAGAAACAGTCACATCTAACTTTTTTGCTACAGTAAAAAGCTCTCACACAAAATCACATCCCAACTCGAATTACAAACTCGAATCAGCGAAGTAAACGGGCCCTTAGTATGTCAATGCGTCAATCGTACACTCCCATCAGCACTCAGAAACATTTTTATTTTCTTAGTTAGCTTCACTTTTGTGTTTCATAACCAAACTATTGGTGCATAATATCCTAATGTGATTTTGTTTGTGCTAACAGAATAATGAATTGTAGCTTTGAGATTTCTTTTCATGAATGTTATGTAAGTTCTTGCTTCGGCCGCTGACTTTACTGAGCAACCACTAACCAGAATAATCCCTTGTAGTCTCATATTTTCATCAAACGCCATGAAAATATATGGGTCAAAATTTAGCCAGGAAAGAAAAAGTACGTGTATGAAAAATGTTCTATCTAGGTCGTTTTTCTTTATAGTTGAAAATTTTATTTTATCAAGGATAATTATAAACGTCACATCTGGTTCAAATTCCAACTCAGTCAAATGCAAATCATTAGTTTGATCCAGGCTCAGAGATTCAAACCCATGTGACCTACGAATCAAATGCACCCATCACCTATACTCCCTAAACTTCACCTCAATATTGTCACTTTTCCCCAAAACCTAAAAAAAAAAACTCATTTTTTTCTTAATTTTGAATTAGTCTCATTTAACTCTTCTTGTTAGAATTTATATTAAAAAACGAAAATGAAAGATACGACGTTAGGTGCAGTTAGGTTGTCTATTTCCGTCTGTTTTTGCAAATATGTTAAAAGCATAAAAAAAAAAGGTGAGGCAATATTGCAATTAAGTGGTTCTAACAGAAGGGATGAGTGAAACTAATTCAAGTATTGTTTGTAATATATATATATATATAGTAACTTCACGCCATGTATGCAGGAAAAGCAGCTGAGAGAAAAGAAGGGTCTCCTAGAAAATCAGGTAAAACAAGAAGTGAACGGAACAAAACCTCAGCATGAGAAATTTGTTTGTGTCCAAATAAATATATTTTCACAACTTTTCTGTTTTGTCCATCTTGGAGTAACTTGTAGATTCGGACGATGATGGGTTGCCAAAGCCCCCACCGTGGAAAAGAGCTTCAGCTAATTCAATGGTTCGATTGACACACTAGTAGAAATATGATATTTTACGACCGTTAATAACCGTCGTTAAAAGATTACATGACGGTTAGGAGAGTTTTTATCTCTCAACAGAAGTATGTTACAGTTCTTCTTAAAGAGACATGCAAGACTGCATGCAAACTAGCAAGCACTCCCATTGACCCGAATCTCAAGCTTGGAACAGCAGAAGAGGATGTTGTGGTAGACCAAGAAACATATCAACGCATGGTAGGAAAACTCATCTATATATCTCTCTCACACATGACCAGATATAGCATATGCAGTGAGTGGTCAGTCAATTAATGTGTTAGTGCATTTTGTGTTGGCTTATTTTTGACAAATTAGTTGTAAGATTGGCTGGCATTGTAAATTGGTGGTCCTCTTAAAGAAAGTCTTGTTGTCATTAAAAGGGTGGCTTTTTTGGGAATTGATGGCTGGTGATCTTGAGGTTAGAGGCAGGTCAAATGCGAAATAGTATGGCAGAACGTGTTGTGCAGAGACAGTGTTGAAAATAGAAAAGTTGCTTTTGTTCATGTCAGAATGAGATTGTAATGTTAAGCGTCGTTTGATGTGTTGTGACGAATTGTTAGAACACTTTTGAGTTGGCTCTTCGGGAGAAGATTTTTTTAGTTTCAGGAGGAATCTGTTAAGTAGAGTGGTGCTCGTTGATCAAGCTTTCTAAGGAGATTCTAGGCAACGGCGACATTGTCAAGGAGGGAGTCGTTGAGTGTGTAAGACCGTTCGGTCCTTTGTAATCTTTTGAACTTAGTAGGTATGCGCACTGAACTGCGATATCACTTTCTGGTGTCCTTTATATTTCTGCATTATTTTCCTGTATTACTGTGTTTGCTGGTTTAATTTCAATCAGTTTGTTAAAACAATGTTACAGTAAAGTGTTATAACACTCTCTGTGACACTAGCGACAAAAACAGACCTTACATTATGCATAGTCTGAAGTAAGTTCATCTGCAAGCAGCTCACAGAGTACTTCATTATTTTAAGGGAACACCAGGAATGGGGATCTTATTTAAAAGAAATGGAGGACTGATGCCGATTATGCTGGATCTATTGTTGATAGGAGGTCAACTTCAGGATATTACACCTTCTTTGGTGGGAACCTTGTGACCTGGAGAAGTAAGAAACAAGGTGTGAAACAAGTTGTGGTAGCCCGGTCCAGTGTTGAGACGGAATTTTGAGTAATGGCTCAGGGTATATGAACTACTTTGGCTAAAGATCATTCTTGAAGATTTGAAGATTAAGTGGGATGACCCTATGAGACTCTACTACGTCAACAAGTCTGCAATTAGCATAGTTCACAACCCGATACAACATGACTGAACAAAGCACATTGAAGTTGACAAACACTTTATTAAAGAGAAGTTGGATAGTGGACTGATTTTTGCACCTTATGTGTCTGCACATGGTCAACTTGCTGGCATTCTAACAAAAAAGGGTTGAGTAGCTCAGTTTTTTAGACTATTGTATCTAAATTGGAGATGGAAAATACATATTCACCAGCTTAAGGGGGAGTGTCGGAAAATACGTGTAATTAATTGTTTAGCTAATTTAGGAAGTTGTATTATATTGTATCCTAGGATTATGCCTATACAACTAAGTTTCCTTTTTATGGTAGGAGTTCCCATAAATCATGGGATTTGATTGGTAGTTTCTTAATTTAGTACTTGGTAGTATCCTAATTTAGTGCTAGGGTTGTTATGTATAAAGCTAACATTTACTGTAACATGGAGAAATGAATGAACGATTCTTTAGTTCAATCTTTGATATTTGCCGCTTTTTTTTCCTCTAAATGGTTTACTAAATGATTTGCTATTGATTATATTCACAGTTTACTAAATGGTTTGCTATATGGTGTCATTCATGGTTTGCTAAATAGTTTTATCTAATTGATCTACTAATAGATATAAAATTGGTGCATGTCAAATATGCTCACGGAACATACTTCTTCAATGTCATTATAAAATATGCTTATTCAATGCGCCTATTCAATGCACTTCTCAAACGCACTTAATGTCACAGTATATATAGAAAGGCATTAAATATAAGCACTGTAATATGATCATTGTTTATAGGTGCATCTCTTCTGTAATACGCTTTTTAATTGAGATACTTTCTTCAAGGATGTGAAATAGAGAGTAAAACAGAAGTTATTCGAAGGATATGTCACAACTTTGCTTGCAAATGCTTTATCTCATGCTGTTTTTTCATGCTTCCAGTTCTATTAATTATATTGCTTCTGTTTCTTTGGTTCATTACACATTGCTTGAATTGATTTGTTTTGTTTTTGCTCAACTATTTGCTTTTATTTCTCTTATGTGCATGTTCATCTGGACACACTATTCCTTGTTAAAATATTGTGACGTTGATGTTTATGACCAATACCAAAGGCAAACAACCACGGTCAACGCCCCAATAATATGCACGTAAGTTTTTAATCATAGCTCCATTATAATGACTTCAAAGGCGTGTCTACAGCTTTAGTAGCTAGAGTATTAGAATTTTCAGAAGTAAATGCTCGTCGACAAAGGCTGCTGAAGGTTTGGCTTTACCGAGGGGGCTGGAGCAAAGTTATTTTTGAAAGAGATTTGTCTCAATATTATCAAAGCAGCTACTGGAGAGGTTCAGTGTGTGTCATGGGAAGCCACTGGTTTTATCAAGCTAGTTACATCATTGTCTATGTCTTATGTATTTCGCTCCTTTTTTTGGATTCTAAGTATGCTGTAATAGTCACTGTAACGACCCCCGGATCGTTACACTTATCTTAATTTTTAAATATTTACCTCTTAAAGAATGTGAAAAATAGTTAAATTTGAAACACTTTACTTTGAATGACTTAAAGAAAACCTAGATTTTTAAAAAAAAACATATTATAACTTTAAAAATTTTGAACTTCCTCAAAAAAAAAAAAAAAACATGTTAGTTCAACTTAATTATTAAAATCCATACCGTGAAATAAACCTAAAAAAAGTCTAGAGTATTCTTCAAATCAAAACCACCATAAACTAAAGTTCCAAAACAATAAAAATACAAACTAAAAACTTTGTTTAACATTAAGCACTTTCATCTCATGATCGTTTCTCCCGTTTTCCTATCACGCATAGCTCGCATCCGTTCTAATATTCTCTATGGCTACATCTTACCCTTTAGATTGTCTATAACATGAAATAACTTATCTAAACAAAGGCTTAGTAAGACACTTAATTCTCACAAATATAAATGAATATTTTTTATTCATCAACAATAAATGTCATCATGGGAATAATTATTTTTGAACAACTTAAAAATCTATCATATATTGGGCCCAACGTTGTACCATCATAGCGCGCTAGCCACAGAAAGCATGGGGTAGCAAATCTCATACCAACCGTGACAATAAGACGGCTCACCAGTCACCATCAAGGGCGTACAACGCCATTTAAAAACATAAAAATACATATATACATGTTTCTTCAAAAAGTCATCATATGAGAAATATTAAAGGTGTCATAACATCATCATAAACATCAAAATCATATACTTATCAACTTTTCAATTCATGTTGCAGGTGAGAGTGTACTTACCAAAACGCCTTACTTAACCTTTTTAAATTTTCTAACAGTGACCCGACAAATGAGGTCCTCGGGTGCTCACCTCTAAAACCGTTTATGCCATAAACCATAAATATAATAAAATTAAAAACATTAATTCATCAAATCCATCCATCATATTGAAACAGCGCCCAAAAGGCCAATTCCATCATTTAATAACATCAAGACACAAAAAATCCCAATAATTACACAAATTTCCCAAATCTTACAAAAACTGACAACTTGGCCTTTATCTTTTTAAAAATTCATAACAAATCACAAAGAACTCAAAATAACTTGAAACTTGTGTCAATTGAAAATAGACATCAAGATCTTTCCAATGATACCTTATTTGTTAAAAATGGAGCGTTTGATCCCCCAAACACTATTTTAAAGTCAGATTATGTAAGCTGGAAAATTCCAGCACAGTAAACTCCGAAAATACCAAAATAAATTCATTAAAGATAAAATCAATTCTAACCATATGCATACTTTAACCGTGCCTAAGACATGTTCTTAAAATATTCAATTCACACATTCTACAAAAATTCTCGTGGCAAAGAATGTTAGAAACATCAACATGACCATCGAAATTCACATATCTTACAACTCGAATCCAAAAACAACATCCTAACTTATGTTTCTATGAAATCAAAATATATAACATAGAAGAAATAACAATATAAGAAAATAACATAATTCCTAGCATGCCTCTCTAGAATTCATCAAATTATAAGGACACCAAAACACCCAAAACAATAACCGGGTCATGCATTCCAATCCAAAATAAAAACCTGCAGCCATGGACATTAAACATCACCTAAATACATATATCATCCCTCAATCATCAACCAATAAATATCCTCCATCATTCTCTCAAACCATTATAATCAAACCCAAAGTAAAATCATCCAGACTCTCATAGAAATTCAAATTAAACAACAAGAAAGAATCATATCTCAACAATCTTTATTTTACCTCTAATGATTGAAGAATCCAAAAAGAATCAAGAGGCGAGGTTTGTGGCTGGTGTTGGAGGCTTTCTCTGATTCTTTTTTTTTTTTTTAGCGTGAGAAATAAGGAGGAAGAGAAAAGGAGAGAAGGGGAATCGAATGGCTCTTTAATATGTAAAAAAAAATTAATGTGATTGATTTAGGATTGATTAGGGTTTAATCGTATAATTAAATGACCCCTGAACAGCTGAGGGAATGGCTGTCATTAGGGTGTAAAATCGTGTGGAAGATAAATAGAAGAGTTAGGTCAACTTCTAGAATTTCCATTCTTGTTTGCGTACAGTAACATGTTCGGAGACTACTGGGTATCCGGATGGTATACTAGCCATATCTTCTTACTCCGATGTCCGATTTGTGCAAATGAGAAGGCGTTATAAAAGGCTCTACAGCTTTATATAAACTAAAGGAATAATTTCAGAATTTTAAAGGTCCAAAATAGAGCTGGAAATTAACATCATGAAAATGGTTCTTTTGTTTAAAAAGAAAAATCAAGGAAACCTTAGAATTTTCCTAAGATACTTAATTTCATGCATTGTAACATGAAGTATATCATATCATGAACATATATTCATTTATCAAATCATCTAAAAAAATGAACATATATGTAATTTCTATAAAATGGCATAAACTTGTTCTCGGCACCTCGAATCCTCGTCGCGTTCACCTATAATAAATAACTCAACGTGATGTCAGAATTAACTATATATAAGACTATAATATTATTCAAGTTAATTCCTAAAATCTATTTCTAAGAATTTTGTCGGTTTAAAAAAATGGGTGTTACAGTCAGGGAAATGGTATTTGTAATTGGGGCTTTAACTGTTTGTTAAACAACAATGCTCTTGAGTGTTAGGAACTCTACGGACTTACAATCAGTCTCTAAACGATGATCTCTTGGTAATATATAATCACTTCTCCAAAAAAAAAAAAAAAAAAAAAAAAAGGTTACTATTTTCTGGGTCTCATGGTCTTCGTGTAAAGAGAGAAACTACATTTGGCTTTGAAAAAGTAATTTCCATACACATGTATATTGCCATTGCAAACGTTAACTTGGTTGTGGCTCATTCAAAAATTAACCCTCTCTCCTTTTCTTTGCCCTAAAGAGATATCTGATGTTGAATTTAGGTGTAAATCATGCAACTATAATGGGTTTTTTTTAGGTTCTATTTTTGCTTACGAGTATATCTTCTTTATGTACATGAAACCATATGTTGATTTATTAGCATACTGGTGGGTTATAGTGCCTTATATATATATATATATATATATACACACACACACACACACACATATATATATATTATTACATCATATCACTTCTGCATACCTTTGTAAATTGTAATTATGTTAGAATATCCTAACAACATATAGTCCTGTCATGTTTAGAAAACATTTGGATTATTTACAAAACATAGTCCTTTCAGTGCTCAACTTTCCAGGTTTGCTTCTCTCTCTTCTCTCCTGATGTTTATTTACTTGTTTTTATTTTTTTTATTTTTTTATTTGGGGTATTTTGTTAGTTTTGCTTATGAATTCAAGGTTGTTGAAAAAAAGAAACATTCGGATTTTTTTCAAGCCCTAAATCACCAACCAAATGAATACTGGTTCATGATCTGCTCATTCATATTTTATTATTCAAATTACAAGGTTTAAAATGGTTGTTGTCCATAATCGTCTTTTTTTTTTACTATTATTTTGTTTTCCGTTTCAAGTCACCTTTTTTTTTTTTCCTATGCCATGTATTATCAATCTGGACTTATGTAAGAAAGAAAACAAATTCTCTTCATTTTGTAATTACATGGTGGTGAAATTGAGTGGGGGAGAACTTACTTATAAATAT